CGATATCAACGCAGAATGTATTAACGCAAAATGTAACAGCACACTTTTTAGGATTATTACTTTTTGCGTTATTACACTTTGCGTCGAGATCAACGCAAAATTTAATAACACGATTTTTGGATTTTTATATGTTGCATTGTTACAGTTTGCAAAAGCAAAATACAACAACGTAAAATGTAATAACACAGTCCTTTTTGGTCAGTCAAACTGAGAATAATTTTCAATTGAGTAGTGGATGAAGAAAATAAACGGAAGGAAAATAAAACAGTATGCTTATTCTTTCAATAGATCTGATATTTATATCATTAACCATTTAAAATCATTTGATATTAGGTGTTGCAAATTAGAAACGTGCGTGCACGTGTGTGTGTGTGGGGGGGGGGGGTTATTTCGTTGGTCAGTGTATCGGTTTGATTTTGCTTTTTGATAGGCACATGCATGAAATTTAGAAATGAAATCTTTTTTACTGCCAGGTTTAAATATAGCGGGAAGGAGGTTTCTTGACAATTAAGATTTTATACTGTTTTACAAATCATGTGCATTGCAGACAAGCAAAAATAAAATTCTCTCTCTCACTCTCTCTTTCTCTCTTCAATAATAAAATGGATAGTTTCTGCATGCGCATAAAAATACAATGATCAACATACGAAGTAACCCTACCCCCGCTTCTCCTCACCAGACACACACACACATGCACTTCTAATTTGCTAACCAATGTACACATGCATGTTGTACATGCATATCAAGAGCTTTTAATAGACCCATGGTCAATCTTTGGTAATCAAGAATGTCAGTGATGGATATATAATACAGACTGATTTATAAACAGACATGTCATGTTAGAAACAGTTTAAAAATATACGATTAGATTTAGTAATGTCCGTTAAAGCCGTAATGTTTGTCTAATAATCTTAGGTCTGTCTGTTTAGTAAATGAGTTTCCCCCTTGTTACATGTTTAAATCAATTTTGTGATGTTTCGCATTGAAAACAATAAAAAAAAAATAATTATGTTTGTTTTATTACATTTCGCGTTGTTTTCAACGCAAAAAATAAGTAACGCAAAATGTAATAACCAAAAAGTGCATTATTACATTTTGCGTTAATCCCAACGCAAAATGTAATAACACAAAATACAATAATCCAAAAATCGTGTTATTACGCTTTGCTTATTACATTTTGCGTTGATCTCGACGCAAAATGTTATAATCCCAGTTTATTACATTTTGCGCTGTTATTACATTTCGCATTGTAACATTCCATCCTTTATGGTATGTCAAACGTTGCAATATTTGATCTTTTCCATTTGCGTTGTATAATTTTACATTTGTATTGTATAATTTTTATTTGTTTTGCATAATTTTCTATTTGTATTGTATAATTTTTCATTTGTATTGTATAATTGTTATTTGTATTGTATAATTTTCTATTGGTATTCTATAATTTTTCATTTGTATTGTATAATTTTCCATTTGCATTGTATAATTTCTTATTTGTATTGTAAAATTTATTTATATGCCATAATTTTTTATTTGTATTGTATCTGAGGATTGTTTATTTGTTCAGTTACGAAGGATTTCATTGGTCAAGTTCTAGCCTGTATCGTGTTGAAAACGAGCGAGATGTTCCGGGTGCTCAAATATGTATTTGCCTGCATTAGAGAATGGTCAGTTGATTCTGAAAAGGGAGCGCTGGTAGATGGCAAAAAAATAATCAGTCCTTAGAAATGTTGACAGAGAAAATAAATAATTTGACCTTGAATGGTGGTACCTACCCCCACCCCCTAAGAAACTTAGTTTTCGGGTTTGGGCGATTTTCATCTTTTCCATTTTCTTCTTGTCTCTGATCATATTGGAAATAAATATTCTCTCCTGCTGGAGAATGAAAATAAATGATCGGATTCAACAAAATCCCCCCATGGGAGGATCAAATGGGCGTCCCTTACATGTAGTATGCACGCAAATAGAGGAGCCCAGTTTGTGTGAGTGCGCGAACGGAACTGTGGGGAGGGAACCAGACTAAGTTTGTGTTGGGCACCTGAAATATCTCGCTTCTACAAAACTTGACCAATGAAATCCTCTGTAATGAAATAAATAAATAATCCTCGAATACAATACAAATGAAAAATTATCGCATGATAATAAGAAATTATACAATGCAATTAAGAAATTATGCAATGCAAATGGAAAATATAGAATACAAATGAAGAATTATACAATACGAATAATTTTTTTAGAAAATACAAAAGGAAAATATTTCATCGTACCTCATAATATTCTACGTGTATAATCTTGATCATGCTTAACACCGAAAGCTTCATTTTTAACAGAAATACAAAGGAATTATAAGCAAACTCTAAATTTTACCTTTTTTTTTCAAATATATTTACATTACGCATAAAAACCCCTTCTAGAACAACTTCTGATGAAAGAGAGCTCTTTAGTGAGATTGTGCGGAAATAAAACATTTTATAAAATAATACTGTTATCTATAAATAAAGATATAACCAAGTTATTCTTGTATTACATGTATTCGGAAATGCAAACAAAAAGAGTCTCGAGAGAGGTTGTATTTTTTATTTGAATTACATGTATTTGTAAGATTGACAAGATAACAAGAAAAAAAAATAATACACATCAAACATCCGAAATATTCATTTTTTTTTTCTTTTTCTTTTTTATAGTAAAAATCAAAAATGTTAACCGCAGTTTTTCAACGATCAAATTTCAGCTTGGTCACAGTCCTTATATGTACCCAGGGATTTGATGTGATCGACGTACAAAAAGGATTTAAAAATATTTTGCTAGATAACTTTTTTCTAGATAGCTTAACTGGTTAGTTTTTTGTTTTTTTTGTTTTTTTTTTTCTGAATGCACTTTTTTTCAAATAAGGTGTTAAGACTGTCACTCACAAAACAATTGAGATATAGAAAAACCTCACCCAAAAAGGAAAACGCGTCAGGTCGAGGAGAGTTAGGAGGAAGAATGATATAAATGTATTGTTTACCTCAGAATCATTTCTTGGACAGGCAGCTATTTATTTATTTTTTTCTTCTTGCTTTTTCGTTGCTTGCTTTCTTTGTTTGTTCTTTAACGTCTCTCTTGAGAAATTTTCAATCCTTTTTTTTTTTTTTATTGCAATCAATAGCCCGACTAAATTCAAATAATTCTTTATTTTGATAATATCACTGTATATCTAAATATTAAACATTTATCTATAAATCCATATATGAATGGTATGTTTTCAAACACTTGTAGGGAAAATGAGAGATGTACAAATATATAAACATGTATACAGTAAATGAAGGAAAAGCACAAATATCTAGTATGCAGTGGATGAAAAAAAATCTTGCACTCCTTCGGTGACGATAAATAATGTTTGTTTTTTTTAAACGTTAAAAAATTACCTTTCAGTTATCAGGTATTTATCACATTGCAGAAACCGTATGGTTAGAAGTAAAGCCCTCAACTTTTTTTGTACAATGAAACAATCATATAACGCCTTATTGTAGAAAGAAACTAAGATGAACAGTATTTATTCGCAAGTAAGTTAAGGCTAGGTATAGGCATTTCTACGCAAATAAACTAATGAAAATGCCTAGGGACTCTATCTAATAAACAGAAAAAGTTAAATCTTATTGTCTACATATTTGGTACCCACGAAATGATATAGCCAGTACACGTTATGACGTCATATATTGTGAAATTATTGTTCTTTACTACATGTACACACGATTATAAAGGACATCAACAAAATACATGTAGTTTCGATGCAAGTGCATGTTCTATTCTATTTCACTGAAACAGGGTATATTTAAAAACAAAATATTCCAAGTATTGCTAGTATTGTTGCAAAAATATCATCAGCTCAGTTGTTTATTTACTATTTGTAAAGTTTTAAATTGAAACTGGGAAAAATGTAAAGTCCGGTTTAACTTTCCTCAATTTCTGATCGAATGAGAAAATGCCTAGGATTTGTGCAGCAGTTTTATTCATCTATATTCTTCTTAGCATTATACAATTCTTATGTAAGTTAAATAGGATAATGTCTTGCACCAAAGCTGTTTTGTTGATATGTTTTATTACCTCCAGTAGGTAAGAACTATGACGTAATAATATGACGTCATAATGTGCACTGGCTATAAATTATCGTGGGTACTTAGTATGTTTCAGAGATTAAATCAAAACTTTCTTTGAATAAAAAAGAAATAAGTACCCTTTATGCATTTTTATAAGTACATCTGCATAGAAACGTCAATACTTAACCTTAACACACATGCGTAATGCATGTTACATTCTGGTAGACTGATGGTTCTCTATATTCATTGTCCTAGTAAGCGGCTTACCTTCAATCATAGAACTCCCTTTTGAGTGATAACCTCTATTTTTTTTTTCCTATATACCCTAAAAATATGATAAACACCTCAAAACGCAACATACTGTCAATGGAAGTGATAATTGTCTCCTTTCTCTAAGTATCCCGTTTTTGAAAGATCCCTAATTTGGAAAGTTCAGGAAGCAGATCCATTTTGCAGTTTTTATACAAGAGAAGGTTGGTAACCTTACATTTTTCATATATCTATTATAAGTATCTTCCAGTGAGTTATATATTGTTGATATTATTTTTGGTCTTTATCTATATCCACTTCACGAATTAATAGAGAGGATACCAAGGTTTACAGTAAATTCCAAATAAGAACTTGCTGAATCTATGTTTCCCCGTCTTAATGCGTTAGTTAAGTCGCAATCTTTATCGCGTTGTGAATTACTTTTTAGAGAGTTCAACTGTACATTTTGTATCTTCATATGGAAATGATAATGATCTAGTCTTCAATAATATATTATCACTTATAGTGCACGCAATATGTCGAACTTACAATATCTTATTCCGAATTGTTGATAATGGTCACATTTATTATTTTTATTCTTGTTTAGTAAAATTATGAAAAATAACAATTATATACCCCTTCGTAGGATATATAATGTTATATTTCCACAAACGACTAACGCTCCAGATACTTGATGAAATTAATTTCTCCCTTACGTCTGTCTCCAATGACTAGATTGTGGTTTGTATCAATACTTAGTCCGCCATCGCATGGATATTCGATATATCTGACAAAGTTTCCAAAGCAGTCTAAAATGTGGACAATGTTGTTTTCTGAGTTATCACTTATCAATATTTGATTATTTACATCATGACCAATGTGACATGGTTTGAATTTTCTGTTTTCCGACTGCTGATTTGCGTCGCCTTTATACTTGAAATGAAATCCCCCAGAGGGGTCAACGGCAACAACTGCATTTCCAGCATAATCAGCAACACAGATATCTCCATTGCCATTCTGAGTAAGCTGAAGTCCATTTAAAACACCAGTAGAAAACAAAGGCTGTCCCTGATTATCATACTGGATCCTCTGAATCTCCGTTGTCTCAGAGTATCTCGCCACTATACTTTGTGTCTTATCCTTTGAGCGCATACTCACTAAGAGATGTTCATTGTCTGTATAACATAAACCGACAGGATACCAGTGAGGTATGCTCAGTAATATCTTTATTTTGCCCTTATCAAATAAATAAATGTCTACATTTTTGGAAGAATAGGGACTAAAAGAAAACACCATCTTTTCTTGGAAATTAATTGACAAACCCCACACATTGTGATGTGTCAAAATTTTTTTCAGCTCGGATCCTGTTTTGTCTACTTCTCTGATAGCGCCGTCATTTCCACTTATTATCAAATTACCCACACCAGAACACCATATTCTCCACAGCTCATTATCATTTCCATAAATAGTTTGGCGTTTGAATACTACTAAAGGATCATCCATCATTTTCAACATCTCAGGTTTTTTCTTTAGGATATCGCGAGTCTGACAACCACTGAAAAGTTCAACTATTTGGTATTCTTTGATAATACCAGGAAGAAAATGTGGACAAGAAAATTCTGTTAATTTTGGACCTTTTAGAAAACGCCCATTTTTTGAATGATATTGTAGAATAGCTGAAGCATCATTCCTTTTAAGAATAGCTTTGTTATTCTGAATGATTTGATTGAGTTCTTTTTCAGCGCTTTCTCTCAAAGACCAGTTTTTTCTGCTCTTCGAAACTACTTCCTTCTTCATATTAACTACCTTGTCCATTAGATTATTGCTTGTATTATGCACAAGTTCGCAGATTTTTTCTTTTTGGTAATCAATGTCAGATAAAAGTGTGTCAAATTCTGCAGCGGTGGAAATTGAGTTATCGTTGTTTCTGTATTTTGGAAAAATGGTATTTTCCAGTTCTGCTGTGTCGGCTTCAATTTGCTGTTTACATTTTTGAAGAAAATCATTCATATTGGTAAAGTCATGATTTTTATGTGAACCAAACACACACTGCATGCATATTGGTATTTTACAATCTTGGCAGTATGTCTCACACCTGTTTCTGTTGTGTGTGGAGCATGACGGAAAAGATGCTTTTTCGTTTTTGGATGTGTATCCAACGACTTCATGTTTTCTTGATTTGTCGGCCATGTGTTTTTGTATGCACGAGAGGCAGAGGTTTACGTGACAAAGGTTGCAGTAGTGTTCCACAGGGTTTGGACACAACTGACATTGGATAATATCCTGTCCGAGGGCGACAGCCATATCGTTCAAAAACTGTGGTCAAAATAGAATTATCATTCATCTTGATGAAATATATTGAAGTCAGGCTAAAGGTATGTCACTCGTCAGCCTTTTAGAAAATTTCAGTCAGAACCTCTTACTTAAAAACTATTTATTACAATTCAATCTCTATAACATATTTAAATTAAACAATGTAAAATGTTCAACATTCAATTAAAAAACTGCTCAAAAATTCACAAAGAAGCAAGATTTATAAGGGACTATTTCTTGTGGCGGAAAGATATTTAGCAGAAAATTCTGAAAATCTGCACATTTATTAAATTCAATATCTTGGAACTTTAGCCTCACATACTTTTACTTAGAGGATATTTTCCGTTATGATATGCCTGGAATATTAAATATAGGTCTCAATTTATATTTGTATAGCAAAATTTACACCTTCGCTCAACAAACATTGCCAAGAAATGAAGATATATCAAGGAAGTCGAGATAAAATTTACACAGTTTTTTGCCTGAAAATCGCATATTTTGACCAATATTTCAAAATGTACATCACTGACCACAACTTTTTCTTTCATTATTTTAAACTACTCGATACTTTTGACCGATCAGCACTTAAGTCGTAAAAAGTTTGATACAAGAAAATATTCTATTATCTATTTAGATTTTTAATAACCCAAATATGAGACTTTTTTAGTGCAAAAAGGTCACACAATAATTTACGCGCATTAATTTGCATGATTTGTTCAATGATAAATATTATTCAAACTATTTTACGTTAAATAAGATTATGTTTATTGCCATGGTTACACCTTATAAAATATGATAACGGTTAAAGTGATTAACCAGAGAGTTACAATTTAAGTGCAAAAAGGTCAACTTAATTGTACCGTACCTCAGTTAGATGCACACTGACCCCCCATTTTCTCTGCGATTTTCAGTCATACTATATGAGTACTTATCCAAAATATACTTCTAAAAAAATCCTTGATATAACAAATTTTTGTAAGTTGAATATTCTCTCTTTGTCACAAAGCAAAGAATATTTTAGCTGTTTGAAGTAACATGCGTTGTAATAACTCCTTCAAAGATATGGGTAGAAAGGGAGAAATTAAATTAAATCGATTCCATTTCACAACTAGATTTCAAGATCAACTGAGCTATAAGCAGATAAGTTTTCTAATAACTCCTTGTCTAGCGTCCTTTTCTTCTGTACTCATTCTAGCCGTCCGTCTTTTTTTTTAAATACTTTAAACATCATCAACCCTACAACTAGCACTTTCACTTGCTTTAACTTTACCAAATTTTTCCGATTTTTACCCAATTATCCTTGTTTTCATTGACGTTCATTGAAAATTCTTTGAAGAAAATCATTCACATTAACAAGGAGAGATAATTAAGAAAAAGTAAAAGTAAGATGATTTTAAAAAAAGGTATGCCTGGAATGTAGATAATGTTTTTAAGTTATTCTCATCAAAACATATTTTATAATTATATTCTGCAGTCCTTAATAGTACAGAGTGATTTCACTGAATGATATGTAAACAATGTATAAAGTAAAATAAAGTGTATGTTTTAGTTTGTTGTTTAACGTCTCCCTTGAGAATTTTTCACTCATATGGAAACACCTTGTAATTAATGGATAGACTGTCAAACTCATAAAGGATTAAATGAAGTGCTTTGAAATTGCTCAAAAAATAAAAAAAAATTAAATTAAAAGAAGATCAGAGTGATTTAAAAAAAATAATATCTTTAAATGGAAAACTAACAAATAAACAATACCTTTAAGGTCTGGTGTCCTTAACAAAATAATTATAATAATGAAATTATTTTTTAAAAATAGCAGAAAAGGAAATTGGGCGCTTGAGCAAATCTACATAAAGTAGCTTAAACGGAAGAAAAGAGTTTAAATACAACCACAAAAAAAATCACAGATCAATAGATAAAAGTTAGGAGAAGGAAAGTCCCTGAAACAAATATAAAAGTGGCATACAGGGTGCTTCAGGAAACATGTCCCGACTTTGCAGTTTCAATTAAAAAAAAAAAACTAGGCAGTGAAGGGTTTCAAATTTAGACCTATAGAGCACCCATGACCATTGAGCAGTGGAGGTTCTTTATCGGCTGGGAAATGTACTATTGTATTAAGTTAAATGTTTGTAATTGTCTTTTCAATTTGCAAAAGAATAAACATCCAAGTCGGGACATATTTGTTGAAATAACATACAAACGAAAAGAAATTTGCATTCATGTAATTGATTCGAAATTAAAAGTGTTTGCACGTATTTATAAAAACATGGTAATCATAATAATAATGAATTTTTATTTTGGTTTAGTGAGAAAAAATACAATTATTTCAGAAGATCTTAAACCAATCTGTCGAAGAAAAATACACAGGCAATAGTAAAATAGGGTGATCATTCATTTGATTGTTTTTTTTTTTTTTTTTTTTTTTTTTTTTTTTTTTTCGATAACATTCATTCGACAATTAGATGTATCTATGAACTGGATATCTAACTTCAGATGTATGAGAAATCCATAGAAGTAAGAATCCGTGGATATCGCACACATTTGGGGAAAATGACTGCTGAATAAATGCTATATTGTTAGTAAAATTTCGTTAATTTTTGTCTTAAAGTATCATAAACTATAAATTAAAGTTTTTTAAAGCAAATTTACCGCGACGTTAAAAGTGGAATTGAATAAAAAAATACAACATGGCGGCATAGACATTCTTAGTCCAAAGTCAAGCTTTAGTTAAGGATACGCCTTATAATAAGTTCAGGAAGAAGGAAGAATAAAAGAAAGAAGATGGAAAGATTGAAAATCAAGACACATTTTTTTTTTTAATTCTAGATATATTCTTTCGTATTAAAAATGCGCTACAATTAATTTGGCAAGCATCCATAATCCTAATGACAAAGGGTATATGAATAAGAGACATTCATTCGGCTTTTTTACGTATACGGATGTTAAGATTAAAATGTAAATTAGGTCTCAGACTACCCAAATTAATATACAACTTTCTGTTAATACATTTTTATTTGAAATTTGCGTTGGAATATCTAATGAAACATTTATTTAAGCAAAATTCAAAATTGCCATTGTTTGGACACAACGAAAATTATTATAAAATTAATATTCTTTTGCATATTTTAAAGACATTTTGATAGTTTGTACAATAAGTATATTCAAATATTTAACATCATCACAGACCGTGTGTGCCCCCCCCCCCTCCCTCCCATAATTTTAATTAGCTTTGAAAATATATCATACTGTTATTTTTTATGCTTCCTAAGAACCGACTTTACAGACCGATTTATGAACATGATTTACGGGGAAATCATACATTTTGGAGAAATTAGTGGTCTATATTTAGTAAATATAAACACGCTATCCACATTTAAGGTCCATGTGAACATCTATGTGTAACATTTGATGTTACTTTTTAATTTATTTAAGAAGAGGGAATTTGGGGTTAAATATGTCATGTACCAGTGAAGTTTGAAATAAAATTTTAGTTTCCGAAAAAAAAAAGTTTCGAATATATTCGACTATCGTTCGAATAATGCAATCGAATATTCGACTAAAGAAAATGAATATTTTGACATCCCTAGAAAATTTACATTAATTTTCCATGAAAAGTATGATTTCAAGTTTGTTTTTAACAAAATTGATTAATTAAATTGAAAATTGATTAATTTGATTGATTTTATAGTCTCAATTGCAGATAAATATGCTTCGGGATAATTAAAAAAAAGACCAGAGAAAATTCGGATAAGCATATCTTTTTACACAACTCAGGAATATACCAATATTTCCTCTTTGTAACTTAGCTATATATCTGTTAATTAAAATGGAGTTTTACATAAATAACCAATTACTCTTAGTGTGATTTTATAACCATTCTTTTGTCAAGGTTAAGAAACAATGGGCAATTTCATAAGAAGACAGAGGAAATTCATACTGCCATAGAGTGCTGTTTGAATGTGATATCTATATATAAAGAATGACAAGATGCAGTTGAACTGTTACCCTATTATAAATTCGCAAATGTAAAATAGTAAATGAATTCTGATTATAACATGTGAATTTTTGTGACTTTCTTTAATGGCAGTGGGATTTTCTTCGCAGCTTTTACATTTTTAAACAAGGACATATTCAGAGGTTGTTGCAATGGAAACGAACTCATTATCAAGTATTAAATTTGATAATTCTTAAACCACAAACTTGTCCTCTATCTAAGGGTACCTATCCTTTTTTTCAATTACTTTCATGTTACATTCGAATCACTTTAACATAGAATCTACGTTGTATGACGTCAAAGTTAAGTGAACGAATCCAAGACTGTCCCAGCTAATGAAGATACACAGCTGTGATAATGTGAATGACAAGCAATTATTTTGAAGGAATGTAAAGTTGCTAAGAAATCTTAATAGAACAATATCTTGACGAAATGTCATCTGAGTCATAGATCTATTAAAGATCATTGTGTTTAATGTTTTTCTGTTAGGAAATGATATGTGTTCAATTACATAATGATGGTTTAATAATTCATATGCATTAAATCCTGTGTAAGTGCAAAAAGTTCAACAGAAGTAGTATAGCTAAAACATCTTCATTTGTTTGCAAGGAAAGGTATAAATTTTAATCGTTTTTCCTAATCATTTGGGTTTGTTCTTCATCATACAAGTATTAAGGATTAAAAATACTCTCACAAAGATTGTCGGTAAATATTTACAAATTCAGGGTTGTAAGTTGATTACAATATCTTTTGAAAAAAATTGAGCGCATTTGATAAATTTATTGAGATGTGGATATATTCTTTTATTTTAAGTGAAGAAAAAGAATTTAATTTTGAATAATATTTCTAACTATTGTTCAGTTAAAAAGTCTATAAACAACGATGTTTGAAGAAGTATATATATGATTTTCTATATTGTTCTTATCATCATGTACCCCTAAAAATGTTTGAAAATTATAATTGCAGTATATAACAATCGTTTCAAGTTGCACCGGCTTCT